AGTATTTACTTTCGTTTCCCAGCGCAGCGCCGCGGGCCACAGAAAATGGCTTGGCGGGCCACATGTTGGACAAGCTTGATATAAAGCTTGCAAACATGATTTTATGTACATATCTCTCTCCCTCTCTCTCTCCATTATATACCTGCTATTTATAGATATAGGTTTACACAGGCAATAGCTCTTGTTAACCCTTGACTCAGGCACAGGCCTAGTCCTCTGGCCTTCAATTAATCTGCAGCTTCTGCCCCATCAACAGAGCTCTTCAGGCAGCAAGCAAAGGAGCACTTAATGATTAAACACAGGTTAATCAACAAGCAATGACAAGAATATCTGGCAATGACAGGACAAGAATCGTACGGACACAATCAGGTTACACCAAATGAAATACATATATATACAGATAATCCATACAATGAGTTCAGATATAAAACAGCTTACAGTCCTTTACAGTACAAGAAGAATGCATGGTTACAACAGGAATCCCAACAGTGTGGAACCAGACCACAACACTGGCACAGCAGCCGTGCCCAAAGAAATAATGGCAATCCAGGGAAAGATCCCAGTACCTAATAAAACATCATTACTCTCTCCCAGGTCACTCAACTAGGAGGGGCCCGTAACTATGATACTACCCTTAACAAACAGGGGGGCCCTAGACTCCCCTCTGTGCCCAAGGTCAAATTGTCCCCACCCCTCAGATGCTTCCCCTTAATCCCCCTCAGTGAGGAACACCTCTCCTCCCCTGTGGAAATCCCCTTTCCAGGTAACTCGCAACTCCCAGTGTCCTCCCTTGCCGGGGTGCTCGACCCGCCCAGTTGCTGCTCGTGGGAATAAGGCCTTGGTGACTGCACCAGGCAGCTTGGGCCTATCAGCCCTCTCTCAGCTTGCCACGCACTGCCCTGTGCACTGAGACCTGCACTGCCTCATGCAGCCGCAGCAGCCTGTCAGCTCTACAGCCCTGTGGGCCAATCTGTGCACCGATGACCCAGCTCCTGCCTCATGCAGGGTTAGAGATCCCACACTACCGCATACAGCCATGAGGTCCCGTCTGCTCCCAGACCCTCCATGCACCAATCTGTGCACTAATGCCATGGCTCCCTCCATGGCAGGGCTGGGGACACAGCCTCTTGCTGCTCCCTGTTAGGCAGTGGAGTCTTCTGGGGCGCTTCTAGGGCAACTGCTCTGCCCCGCTGGTCAGCTCTACCAGCTCTGCACAAGCCCTGTCTTCATTGTCCCTTGCCGACAGCTCCCCACGTGCTGGACACGCAGGTTTTTATCCCTTCTGGAGGCTCTGCCCCCAAATTGCAAATGGACCAATAGGAAAGCCTGAGGGGTTAGTTCCCCCTCAGGTCCTCTTTTTCACCCTGCCCCTGGGTCAGGGCAGGGCAAGCTTGCCTCCTGATTGGTGGAATGCTCCACCAATCGGCCTGAGCCATTTCAGGCTCAAGCTAACAATCCAGGCTGCCGGTGAGCCCACTGGCCAGCCTCCCACAACTGTATTTGTGGTGTGGCATATATATGTATGTATACGTGTGCGTACACGTATATATGGGCAATAGATAGGAGAGTTCCATTACATGTGTAACACACACATACACACTTATATAATGGAACTCTCTGATTTGCTAACAATGTAAGCTATGCAGCAGTCAACGGCAGTATATTATGTGGCCTGACTGTATCTGATATATGGGAACACGAGTGAGGAGCATAAACATTCTATTTGACGGTGTTGGAAAAGCTCCCAAAATGAAACCTGTTATGAGTCTTTATAGAACAGAAATTGCCTTTGAGACAGTTACATTCACATCTTCCTACACAGCCTGTGAGAACGGGATATGATTTGCTGAAGTAATTATCCTGCCCCAAGTCCATGAACAAGAAATCTGAGATGGCAGGGTTTACCAGTGGGATCACCAATCGCAACAGAGTTAGGCAACGAACACTTCACCTAAAGAGGGTCCAAGAAATCATTATTTCAATCCCAAAGGAAAAGATGAAGAGACAAAGTTTCTGAATAGATTCTAGTTTCATACTTTTCTCCTCTAACAACAGGTCCTCAAGTTATGCATCGCTGATGCTTGTTTTTATCCTGGTATAACTTCATTTGCCTCCATGGAATCACTCTCTACTTTTACCTCTGTACTAGAGAAGAAAAAAAAGTGCCCAGCGAAGAAAACTCCCATACGTCCTCTCCTCTTTTATTCAACAGGATGCTTTATTTTAACATAGCTAAATGATGCATTAATCTCTCTCCCAAGTTTGAGCCTGGGAAATGTGCCTTAGTTCTTTCTCTTGTCACTGTGCACACTTCTGCTTTCTGTTAGGCAACTCATTGGGGAAATACTTCCTGGAAAAGGAGAACACATGCATTTGATCTACCTGCATTTGATCAGTCTACTCAGTGGAATTTCTCAGATACCTGTCATTTAGTATCTTGGCAAATAAATGTAAGGGAACAGTTCAGAGAAATGCTGCTTTGAAAAAAATAAACTAAAACATAAAGAAAATGGAAAAGATCGTGTTCCTCGATGTTGGAATAGGCTAATTTACTTCAATTGACCTGATAACATTGAGGTAAATCAACTGTTCCAACATTGTGAGCAAATTAAGCTCAGATAAAAGAACTATTCCAACCAGGAGATTTTACAACACTTTCAGCTCTCCTGTGAAATAGTAAAATTTCTTGTACATGGAAATGAAAATTCATATCTTTGCATTCTCCTATTCCTGAGGAAGGGTAAGTGTGCCCAAAAGCTTGCAAATAAAGACTTTTTTTGCAAATATCTAGTTGATCTAATAAAAGGTATCACCTCTGCCATGAGTTCTGATTCCTTCAGTTTCCAGGGCATTACATACATACAGACAAAGTATATTCTGTTATTTTGGTTCTGTTATTTCTGACTCACCCCAGCATTTTAGAAGATCATGCTGAACAAAAAAAAAAAAAAAATCAAGAAACAGATTCTCAGACAGAGTAAACTGACTTACTTATTTGGTTTCAATAAAGCTACCTTGATGTTACCTCTGGGAAGGACCTGAGTTGTAGTTTGTGAGATTCGTCACAATTTCCACATAAAAAAATAACTGAGTAAGACTGCCTAATCATGCAAACTCCAGGAAACTCCAAATCCAATAGTGCTGCATTAGCAGTAACCTTAGACCACAGGCAAACAGAAAGATACAGATCCCGCAGCTTTGCAAACACACTGTGTCATTATTGAACTCCTGTGGCTCAAGAGTCAGCAAATTTCCCATCTCCTACCTCACATTAACATCAAGTTCTTCCATCACAGGCAATAGGCATAGGTAGCTGGAAGTCCAGTGCCCACAGAAGAAACCTGGTCCTGCAGTGAAGAGAGACAGAAAGGAATTTAAAGTTAAAGGGTATGGCAGTTGTTTTATTTACCCCAATGTAGAAACAAGCTTATATTGGTATAACTATTCTGTGCCCCTTTGATCCAAAGTTGTTTCAAAATAAGATAAATAAGCAACCCGTATAAAATAAATCTGTTCCACTTTATCGAATGTTATTTCTTTCATTGCATCTGTTTAGGAAGCTTAGTTATTCATGTCAACACTGACATGTATTACATGTGACAATGAGTCAAACTCAGACTTAGCAGATCACTCTGTGGCTGTTTCTCTATTATTTACATAAATGTAGCCATGGATTAATATGGCACTTTAAAGCCATGGTAAAATCCTGATCTCAATTAAAATGATGGCAAAGCTCATGTGGAGTCAGGATTTCAACTGAAGACAGGGATCTGCTTTTGGTTCCATTTGCACCAGTGTAAATGTAACATATATTAGCACTGCCTGCTGTCCCATTCTAATGTCCTCCAGGAAGTTTAGAGGTCTGTTAGCACTGTTACCTAATTATCTTATTTCTTTAATGCAAGCACTAGAGACTTGTAGTTTTAGATCAAATTTGCCCCGTCCTCTTCCTGCTGGATGACCCTGATACAAGTTTATCAGAATAATTCTACTGAAGTCATTTACATAGTATATTTGTTCTGGAGCAATTTCAAAGTCCCTACCTCAAGGTACAATCTAAGGGTCAGATCCTATAAACCTTTACTTAAAGGAGTCTGGCCTAAGAGTTAGGTGAGGCACAACCTGGCAAAATAAGACAACAGAACAGAAAACAGGATTGAGAGAGAGGTTGATCCTTCAGTCCACCCACTAATGAAACCAATAGCAAAACTCCATCAACAATAATGCGAACCTGTTTCTGATCCATAGGCAGTATCAGCTCATGAGGTTACTTGTTTGCTCACTTTATACTACACATTGGTTTGTTTCATTTTAAAATATAAATAGCATTGAGTTAAGGTGAGAAAGGAGAGGGGATTTACTTTCACCTGTTTCTTTGATGAATCCCATCCCCACAACCATCTGTCAACAGGCTTCACATTTATTCTAATTATTTACATGTTTACATCTCTTTGTTAATCATTTGTAAGTAGGCAGTGAATACCTTATTAAAACCAAATAAAAAATAGCTCAAGAGGTAACATAGTTGAAATGAATCAATGTCTTACTACTGCCCAAGGCAATGCTCTGCCTTGTGAAGAATAAATGCAACTGAACAATGAAATCCAAGTCTTAAGTGAACAAAATGTCTACCCAGCCTGCCTTGGGACAATCAAAGGTGTTTCTGGCACAATGTCAGAGTGAGCTTCTTCCAAAGACACAAAGATTTCCGGGAAAGAAAACACAGCTACTTATCATGGAAAGTTGAGTTCCTGGCACCAATGGCAAGAATTGTTCATCTCACATGCTACAACATGATTTTGCTCTTACTGCCAGCAGGACCATGCAACAAGTTTGGCCTATTGCTGCATAGGTGCGTAATCCTGTTTAAAGAAACTGTTCCTCCTAGCATAAGAGACATTCCTCAGTAATTACCTGGGGTTCGGGTTTTCTGTTCACTATGGAAAAATGAGGTAAAACCTGGATTTTCTCATTTTAAGGAAAAAAACCCAGATTTTCTCTTTTAAAGGAGAAAAATGCAGGAAACAGTGGGTTTCCCCTTGCAGGCTGGCAGAGTTCCAGCCTAACAGGGGCTGGGGGGAGCTGGAGGAAGGTGATCAGGCAGGGGCACCATGTGAATGTGCACACATACACATGCATATGGCCTCCAGGCACCCTGGAGAGAAGCTCCCACAGGTAAGTCTGGGGAGTGGGGTGGAGGGGGAATTGAGGCCCCAATAGTTAGTGACGGAGGGAGGGAGGGAGGGAGGCAGGCAGCTGGGTGGGGCTGGAGTTGCTGCCCAGCCAGGGTGGTTTGTGGGGTTTGGGCTCAGGGCCAGGACAGGAATCTGTAGCCACAGGACCTGGGCGGGGAGTAGAACAGAGCCACAGCTGGGTTGTCCAGGGGCCAGTGAGAGGGCTGGCTTCCCACCACTGCATGTATTCCCGGAGGGGAGGGTAATGGGGGGCATGTGCCCCCCAGCTTTGTGCATGGGGTGGGTGCAGGCTGCCCACCACATGCTCAGGGCTCCCTGCCTTGGTGCCCTTCCCCTGGGGCCTTCACAGCCCATAGGATGAGACCCAGTGGGGCAGAGAAGCTCGATGCTGCTGCCACACTGCCATGGCGAGGTACCCCCTGCTCACCTAGCGGCAGCAGGAGGCACAACTCCACACTACCACTCTTGCTGCTGCCAGGTGGGCAGGGGATGCCTCATCATAGCAGCACTTGTCTCGTGGCAGCAACATTGAGCTCCACCCCACTCTGCCCTGCTGCACCGGGTCTTGTGCACTGGGCAGCAGAAGGGAGGGCAGCAGGGCAGAGAGGGTGAGCCCGCAGCGGGCAGCCTGCATCCACTCCCCACACAAGCTCCACTCCAGCTGTGCTTCCTACGGGGGAGGAGAAAGCAGCTGCCAACTCCCATAGGCAGCAGCTGGGGCTCAGGGGCTGCTTGGGGTGGGGCATGGGGCTGTGAACCCAGGTCCCTGGTCCCCTCCAGCAGGGCAGGGGGGCAGGGGGGGCAGGGGGCAGGGGGGGTAGGGGGTGGTGAGTGAGCGGCCCCAGCAGGGTCTAGGGGGCTGTGGGTGGTGAGTGAGGGGCACCAGTGGGAGGCGGGGGGAGCTGTGGGTAGCAGGACAGGCACACTGGCAGGGCTAGGGGGCTGTGAGGGGGGGGGGGTGGGGGGGGGGGGGGGGAGGGGTTGTGTGTGGGGAGTGAGGGATTTTGGGGGGTTTCAATAATAGAATTTGCAATTTTTAACCAGAGGAAAATCAGGATCCCTGGTAATTACAAAGGCTTTATCCAACCAGTTCAAATAGCAATGGCTCAGTCACCTGGTGCAGGAAAGGACACACACAAAAGCACCATTGACCAACTTGTCTCAAGCATCTCTCCTCCTGATGAAACCTTCACTGGCCCCCAAAAAAGGACATACACACAAGTGCCATTGACCAACTTATCTCATGCATCTCTTCTCCTTCAATTCTCAAAGCAGAATTACATAATAAAATTTTAATGAATTCTCCTCTAATTAAAACTAAATCACACAAATGTCTTTGATGCCTACCAGTATCTCCTGAGTTCAGTAAATTCCCAGACTGGAATATATTTCGACCAAGTCTTATTTCTATAAATAAAGGCAACACTACAAAATCATAATTAATGTCACAATCCTCTCAAGTGTTCAGCCAGAACAAGCACCTATGCCCATGCAGAATAATTTACAACATCTGGCTATAAATGTATAGGCTGGATAAGAGCTGATTGAAGAACAGAAATATTGTTTCATTCATTAACAGTTTTGAACATTCAAAAGTGTTTTTTCCCCCACTATGAGAATTTTTTGGGGGGGGGGGGGGGGGGGGGGGGGTTTGCTTAAAAAAAAAAAAATCTATGCTTCTGTTTCATTAAAACAGTTGGGAGATTTTTTTCATTCCACTCTCACCAGAAGTGACCAGAATTAGCAAACTTTCTGGATGAAAATATGGTTCAAACACAGACATCACCTCAAAATATTTCAGCTTTTGAAACAACATTTTTACAAAAATGTACTTGATCAAAAACATTTCATTCAGCTTTCATTGTTATTTTTAAAGGACATTTTTCTCCCCTAGACAATTCTAACCATAAATGAGTACTTTTTAATTAAAAAGAAAAATAAGAGAAATCCAGTCAACTGATAAAGTTGCAAACCTGGATGAAAAAAACGCAAGTGAAAAATACTTAGTAAATTAATGACTCCTTTGACATTAAGTTAAAACACTGACTTACTACTAAATTAAAATAGGTTTCCTATGAAATTGCACTGTACAACTGTCTGAATGCTCAATAATGAATGCTGTAATTATAAAGAACTTAATGATTTAGAACCCATAGTTTTAAAAAATATAGTTTGCCCCAGTAATTTTAATTGGTATGAATATTAATGCCATTTTTAATTATCTCTAACTCCACTATGAGTCAAAAGAATGTACCATTATAATAAAAAACTTGTGTGTTTACTAGTGAGGGCCCACTGAAAAAATGTAACTAACTATCGGCATCCTCTTAAAAACATGTGCTGAGCTCTTTGGCGTTGATTGTCTCTCAGTATATGTTTTTAGAGAAATTAGCAAAATGCCACTACTATAGCACTGCTTATAGTAAAACAAAAAATAACAATGAAGTATAGTT